AATAAATGCACAGATGAGAGTGTGCGATTAGAGTTCAGATCAGGTGAAAGGAAATGAAGCAAAATCACTACAGGATATTAGTCACAAACACAGAGCTGAAGAAATCAAAGCTATTTGATAAAGTGTTGGGGATGACAGAGGACGTAGAATTTACAATGTGGGACGAATTACATGCTAAAGTGTAATTTTTTGGGTTAGGATATAGAACAAAATAATAACTAATGCCCAGAATTAAAATCAGCCGATAATTATGGCCCATGGCTGATAACAGATAAATGGCTAATATAAAAAAAATATATACTATTTTATCAAAATAAATAAAAATCAAAACATTAAAAACAATCATTTTAAATATAAAAGTATGAAAAACTAAATAAAATAAGATTTTCATTCATTTGAGATTTAATAAAGATTATATTTATCAGTTTATTAAATTATTAGTGTTTTAAAAGATGAGCTAAATTGAGCTTTAGATGATGGTTAATTACCTGCACAATCTAATGAATTGAAACCTAATTCAGCATATCACTGAAAAGCTTTGACAAACGCTGTGTAAAAGCAGCATGTCAAAATCTACATTCAGTTCTTCAGTATTAAAAGTTAAAATTGGGAATCACTGGCACAGTAATCTGGCAAAGCCAGAGGATCATCTCCCCATGCAAATGCCCTAATTAAAATCCAACACTTAATAGCTCATACATTAATAGCTTAGCATGTTAATCACTCACTTTTCACATAACCCACACAAGAGAAAAGTGCATATATTATGCTTTTGACTAATATGTGCTTTTAGCTAAAAATAAGGTGTAATGAGGTTAAAAAGGCTAAATGCACAAGTGCAAAGATTGTATTAAAAAGTAAAAAAAAAAAAGTCACATATTTGCAGACTGGTTGTGAGGAGAATCGCATGCTTTGGCTGACTGACTGCATATGCTCCAGTGCAGCGAGAAAGACATCTCTCTGGTGATACTGAAGTCATTTTAGAAGCTGGTGCTTAGAAAAGAACCCAATTATCTCCCCTGATGGAGTACTAGGACAGTCATTGTTCACAGACACCCTTAGCAATGGCGGGACATTTATAGACAGTTGGATACTTACAAAGACATATACATAGCAATAATAGAACGAAGAAACAAGTTAGCATTTTTGCACTTCCGGGTCCATCGTCCCGAGGTCAATGGGTCTGTGGTTAATACAAGCTCAACATATTTTAACATATTTTCAGGTAATACCCCACCCATGGTTTTTAAAATGATTTTTAACATGACTTGGAAAAAGTGGCTTAAGTGGTTAAACGGGACTACAGAGGATGTCAGGGATATGAAACATCATAGCAGCAAGCAGGTAAACTCTACTAGATAACTCTAGGTAAAATCTACTCACTAGTCCACTTAAGAGTTTTCAAAAGCTTAATGGTGGTGGCGCTGAAGTCATGTGACCATGGTGTAAGATTTTTATAGCCTCACTTTAGCTTTTTACTCCTAATGATTGTATTTAGGCTTCAAAATTAATTTGTGAAGATTATTTTGATGAACAAAATGTGTAAGAAGCATAAACTTTGATTAGTCGCAGAGTTAATTTTCTGCAACAATCCAAAAACCAATGGAAAAATCTTGTTGGCTTTTCATCGATGGAACCAGCATGTAGGGGTCGACAAATATGTGTTTTTCAGGGCTGATGCCGATACCAATTATTACAGATCAAGTAGACCAATAACCGATATTTTGAACCCATATATACGTCTATTGTAAAAATGAAAATTAATGTCAAAATTAAGAATAACAAGGGCTCTGACAGAAACTTTAAATGCTTTTAAATTATTTTAATTAGCAAATCGGTTTTAAAAATACCGATACCGATAACCATAAAAATGCTTAATATCGTCGCCGATAATCAGTCGACCCCTACCAGCGTGATGCTAATTTCCAGGTAGGCCTACCAAAATCCGTCATCCATTGTTACTTTTTAGTTAGTTAAGTTTTATGGCTATCAGAGTGATCCACCTAGACAACTAACTATCAGCCCTCACAGCTGGGCTCAGGCTTGTTCAAATAGACCTGCCACCATTTCCAAATGAACTAACATGATCCTGAACCCCTCTCCTCACTCCAGGACTCCAGAAGTGTTCAGCTAGAACAACAACACACTCATATTTCTTTTATTTGCTCAATCGATCGCACCAATCTCACTATCCCCTCTGCTCTGCTTTTTTGGAGAGTTATTGAACATTTCTTTGTAATTTTGTAGAGAGGTCACTCAGAATGACATTCCAGAGATCTCAGTATCTGGACAACAAGAGGACATCAAACCACACTGCACTAAAGCAAGACCATTTATCAATAGCTTTACTCAGAAACAGTGCCAATATATCAAACTGTTTGTTGCATTTCTCTCTGAAGTGCTAACAAAGAAGGCAGATGGTTCCTGTACTTTCGTGGGATACAGTGAGAGATCATTCTCAAACATCTCATTGACTTTTGAGGGAGTGGCTTAAATGTAACTGTTTGGACTCAAACAATTGCAAGATTCTTCTAAAAACTCAAAGATGTAAAGATTCTAAAGTCTAACAGAATTGTCTTCTCATCCACTTGACTGCTGGGAAATCAAACCCTTTTTTTAAGCAAACCCTTATGTTTCAGACATGACTAGTTCAGACAAGTTTAGACTCTATGAGACAACTCATCATCAGAAACACAGATTTAAAGAACACAACCAATTCTGATTCTTCATGAAGACTTTGAGCTTATGACTGAGTGCATATTAGGAGTATGAATGAAAAATGCTTTCAAATGGACTATTCTATTCCATTTTAAATTCTGATATCAAGGCAAATATGTGTAAAAATGGGAAAAAGTGGGTCAGTTTTCATCGTATTGCAAACCAAGCATAAAATTAGGATTGAATTACACTGCAGGAATGCACACATTTCTTCAAATATGACATTTAGCCCACCATCTGCATCAGCAATACTGTACCAGTGTGCTCTTCAAACATAAGCAATTTAATTAATTTTATAATAATACTACTAATTAATTCTGTAAACCAATGAAGAAGATATTTAAACAGTGTGACTGTCTTGATGTAAAATTCAATAAATACAGGTGCATCTCAATAAATTAGAATGTCGTGGAAAAGTTAATTTATTTCAGTAATTCAACTCAAATTGTGAAACTCGTGTATTAAATAAATTCAATGCACACAGACTGAAGTAGTTTAAGTCTTTGGTTCTTTTAATTGTGATGATTTTGGCTCACATTTAACAAAAACCCACCAAAAAAAAATATGTGGGCCATTCCATCTCAAGTGGTCCAAAAATAAAAAAAAACATAAAAAACCTTGTGGTTTTGCAATACCAATAAATAATGTTAATCACTCCCCCCCAAAAAAAATTGTTTTAAATTTAAATTAGTCAAGTAACCTCCATTGCACCACTTAAGACAGACTGACCCATATGCAAAAAAGGTTATTCCTATTAATTCAGGGAACCATGGCTGTCAGCTTCATAGATGCAAGGAAGGAATGTGGTTTACTTATTTTTAACATTTACTTAAATTCAAGAAACTCTGCATCACATACTTGCAGGATGACTCTTGCGATCTGAATTAAAAGGCATTATTTTAGGAGCATTTCCAACTCTTAATCCAAAATCCCCTGAACTAGATGCCTGTTACACTACAAGGCTGAAATGCTGATACATGACACACAACTGTTCACCATTACAGGTAAATTCATAAATTATCTATCTAAGATACAACGGCACTTTAAATGCATCATTCAATGAAGATTCTGCCAATTTAATGGCATGTTTTAGCATTCATTGAATTTGATGTTTATCAACTAACAAGGGAGAGTAAACTACATGGAAAAGGACATCCGTGTAAAAATCTAAACTACACAAGGACTCAGCATCCGATATCAAAAAGCATGCTGAAGACTGAACAATGCCAACAATATCTCAGGATGACCATTACTATATTACTATACTTATAATTAAATATTTTTTTCAATTCATTTTAATAAAATCTTTATTTTGAAGTATTTAGTTAGATGTAAATATAAACAAATAATAAAACATAACTAAGTAAATAATATGAATAAAGTAAATTATCAAAAGAAATATTTTAAAATATTTAAATACATCAGTACAGTACTATATTGTGTAGATAGCAAGATCAATATCTAAAAAATAAATTAATTAATAAAAAAAACTATCTAACAGAATGTCTACCTAACTATTCAGTATAGTACTGTACTTTTAGATGTGTTATTTAAATATTTTTTTTAAATATATTTATTTTGATACTTTTTTATTTATTACAATTTTTTTTTCACAATGATTTTCTCTAAACTTTTTCACAGATCACCTAGCACTCCTCTGATCTACACCATACAAGCAACATAAAGCTGAATATAAATTCAGCTTCGTTTTAGGGATCGTCAAGCCCTCCGCTATCAGGACAATACTGCAGGGGTGAACACACCCTTTGCCACATGTCAGCATGTGTCTCTGACTATCCAGCTCTTCCACATGCTGTATAGAGGTTTATCTGATCCACAAGGGCCAGTCCTTACTGCTAGATACGACAATGCAGGACACGAGTACGAAAAGACCAGTGATATGCCCACAGGTAGCTGCTCAAGTTTGCTGAAATGGATTGAGAGCAAGACACACATGATGTTACTGCATTAGCCCAACCACCCACCCATCACGCCTGGTTAACTGACAGATTACCAACCCCCAATAAGACAACAACCCATTTACCCACCCTTATTTACATGTTAAACACCCTAACAATAACGTTTATGTAAATGGATCAACAGGTGGGTTAAAACAATCGGTTTCAAAACCTATAGAGCTGCCTAACTAGACATGTTATGGCGTCACGGGCGTTAAATAATGCGGTTATGATGTCTAGACAGGCAGCCCACTAGGGTTTGAGACACAGCCGGCGTGTGAAAATAAAGAGGCTCAGACAGAGATAGACAGGAGGGTGGCTCACAGGATGCCTGAGCAAGACGTGCAGACGAACGAGCCCACGGTCATGTTGGCGTAGGTCGGGCCGCGCTGATCGCAATCGAAGCACTTTCGGTTGGGCGCCAAACTCGTCATTTCCCGCAGCATCTTCAGGTGTTTTTCCTCCTGCTTTCGCTTCGCGCTGGCTGCCATGGCCGGAGCCGTTAATATAACGTCGGTCAATTAAAAAATAATAGTATAATACTAATCCAATGTGTTTGATATTAGACAGGGTCTTCCTTTAAATCGTATCACCGGGAAAGGGAAGGTAAGATGGACCGGAGTTCTTCCAAAGGGCCTCACGTTTCGCGAACAACGGGCGAAAAGCGCCGTAGCGAAGAGAGGAGGGGTCCTGAGGCGCAAGGCACGTTCTTTAACAGCCAGCCTGCCCACCCTACTTTCACTGCCACAGTGAGCGACTCAACGGCCAGCCCTCCCACTCTGTATTCAGTTCTATTGCGTGCAGTTTAACATAACGACCAACAGGGGGCGAGAAGTACTCACCGGAAGCGCCACCAAAGGACTCGATGCTAAAACTGTCCATAAGACTTGTTGTGCGGTGTAAATCTATATGGAAATATAATAAATATACACTCATAAAAGCTTCGCTCAATATTCGTACTTATAAGTGAGAAAAAACATGATGTTTTTGTGTAACAAACCCACTAGCACCAGTGCGAGAACTCTAGTTACTAATCACAGGCGCCAACTAGGATCACGTGACCACAATCGAGCCCCGCCCACAAGACTTCGTGAGTGCACGCTCTCGCCCTCATTTAAATGTTCTTAACCCGCAGCGCCCTCTAGAGGAACACAATGGATGTATCGCAATAACGCAGCAATTCTCTGCGAGAGTGACCTAATTCAGAGGGTCTGGCTTCGCCGAGGACATAAATCGACTTTATTAAAAGATGGCCATGGATATGTATAATGAAGTGGTAAATGAAGCTGCGTAAATTAAATAAAGCAGTGTTGCATTGGCCTAATGCTGTATATTTCTCACATTTCTGTAATCACATACCTTTAGTGTCTTGACATTAAACCGTTTCAAATGAATTCCTACACTGGAAAAATGGTGTAGGAACAATTTTCACATACTGAATTAAATGGGAAATTTAGAAAGGCTGAAATAGTTTTATTGTAAATCATACTGTAATTGTTTTATATGCAACTTCAAAAAACCTTTTTACAGTGTACACCATTTTTTTTCAGTATAATTTAGACAATTACATATAATTTAAATGATTATGAAACACAAAATATCCCCAAGAATTCCTCTCTCTATACAATGCATGTAAATACAATATTTTAATGTGTTAAAGAAATCAATGATGGAAAGAAAGATGAGGCACCTAAAGGAAAACCTACCAAAACTTTCTATGAAAGATTTTAAGTTAAATTCTAAGTTACAGATTGGTCTGTTTTATATTACAAGTTTATTTTAAGTTTGGCTGGCTTTTAAAACAAATGATCATGATGGTTTGCTCATCAGGGTTCATCAAGATTAGAGATGTAGCAAGATGGATAAAATGGTAGGAGGAAAACATTTAACACATGGAATCTTCATACATAATTTTGACAATAATTTAACATTCAGAAATATCTAGCAATTATTTGCATTTCTAATCACTATGACTGTACGACTGCTGGCCAAGTAGAATCTGACTGATTAGATGAGTCAAATATCTTTATGGTGACAAACTCAGAGCCACCGTGCAAAACCAGTATCCATGACAACACTAAAAGTCCTGCCTAAAAATTATTTTTGCATTCCATCCAGACTGAACACTTCAAGTGGAACATTTTGTTCAGAAATTTTTATTAGCAACCAAAGCTTAACATTTATATACATCAATTTACATGTAGCAACACATCTAAAGAACGTGCACCTGCAGAGCAGAAGAATGCTCTTAAGGTAGATTTATATGAAGTTTTTAATTGCCATAGTCTGTGGTACATCAAGAGTTTCAGTCTTTTCTGGCATATTAAATTGGACTCCAGTAACTCCACAGCCACATTTCAGCAAAAGAAATCGAGTTTCACTCTACATATAGTTGTGATAAAGCAGATGATGATGAATGTCGGTTCGTCAAAAAGTGTCCCACTGGAATCTGCTCTTTAAGCTACAGTACAAAACATTGACTTTTGTAGTCAGTGTCATTTATCCGCTGGTGAGAGCCTGTGTGCTGGGCTTCTGAAGCTGCTCATGGGGGGCAGTGTAGTCCCACGGTCTGCGGTTCTCTGTGAAGCCGTAGAGTTTCCTCAGAGCCACGCGTGCTGCCTCCTCTTCGGCTGCCAGGACAGTCTCGCCTGGACCCTGAGCCAGCAGCTTACGGTCACTGACACAATATAAAAGAGGCAAAAAAAGATTTGACATTTTAAAAATCAATCAAAAACCTAAACTGAGAGGAGTATTGATTGCACGCTATAGCAGTGGGTCTGAAATTGTTTCTTGGAGGAGACCAGAATAAATTTGACTCAGCCCTGAGAGACACTTCAGATTGATCAACTAGAGATTCATTTACAGACCTTGGAGAATATAGATACTTAGCAGCATGACATTACACAATGCTTCATAAATGTTAAATAACTTTCAGTGAAATAAACAACAAAGCTTATTAACCCTTGTGTCATACCTATACAGGCCGACGAAATAGAGAGGGAGGACAGTACTGGCGCCGGCAGACCGGATGAGGCGGGGCTCGGGTAGAGCTATACCTTTACAGGTCAACTCTTTAACCAGCAGCCCCATGGGATCAACCACTTTCCACATGTCAAACAGATCTTTCCCTATTAGCTGAGTCACCAGGAAATCCTGCAAAATCACACACCCAACAGATGGATCAACATTTAGTGCACAAAGATTAGGGTCTGTAACACACATAATACAATAAATATAATATAATAACAAAATACACAAATTCTATAATTAGATTTTTTTTTATTTTTATTAATTTTAAATTATTTTACACACACACACATACATACATACATATATACATACATACATACATATACAGTATATATATACACACATTAATTAAAAATATATTTTTTGTTAAAATTATATATCTACAGGTGCATCTCAATAAATTAGAATGTCATGAAAAAGTTCATTTATTTCAGTAATTCAACTCAAATTGTGAAACTCATATATATATATATAAAATTATATCTATATCTATCTATAAGAAATATGTACAATTATTCAAAATGTAAAAATAATAAAATATAAAAAATTATATATAATTTTATATTCTAAAATTAAACAATTAAGTATAAAATTAAACACATATGTTATATTAAATAATAATGATATTTCACAATGTTACTGTTTTTCTGTATTCCTGGCCAAATAAATGCTGTCTTGGTAAAAATCGTAATTATTATTATTCAAAACTTTGGATCAGTAGTGCACATTATATATACATAATTTCATATAAAAACAAAACATGAAAAGTTAACTTTAAGGGGACTCTTGTCTTACCCTAATGAAAAGCCCGGCTCGCACAGGCCCGCTGCTCTGCTCCAGAGCACCAATCACAGCAAAGAACGTTCCTTGCAGGGTTTCATCTGGAACAGGAAACTCTGCACTCATCGTCAAATCCTCTACTGCGAGGTTTCGTGCGACGTGACACATGACCTCTGACCCTGTCAGGTGGCCTACAACGGCTGCCACACCCTCCTCAGGCAGGCTGGGAAAGCTGCCCCTGCACCAGTCACTGAGGAAAGCCTGTACATAAGAATAGAAGGAGAGGAATATGAATATCATTCCAATTATTCCAGCATGAGACTCATCGGTGTTCTCACCTTTGAGAACTGTTGACCGTGCACACACAGCTCGCCGTTGTCTTTCAGGTTGAGGGTGGTCGTCTCCAAATCGAGGCCCAGCGCTCGCCTCCTCTCCTCCTCAGATCGCAGGTAACACGTGTTCACAAACGCCGTCTTCAGAAGCTCCAGAGAGAAACTCTCCCGCAGTCGGGCACTGAAAGCCTCCACTTCAGCATGGTAATCAAAGTTTGGCTGCTGGGAGCTGATGGGAAGAGAAAAGAGGGTTCAGGGTATCTGCAGGACTTTTAAGCTCAAATTTAAGACCTGCACAAATAAAATGAATACCATATGAGTGTGGTAGGGCAATGTCTATGGTAACATATTAAACTGTAAAATGACTGTAAAAAGCATGATTTATAGTTCAGATCAGACATGTCTTTGAAAGTGAAAGTGAAGTGACGTGTGGCCAAGTATGTTGACCCATACTCCGAATTTGTGCTCTGCATTTAACCCATCCATGTGCGCACACACACAGTAGTGAACACACACACACACCGTGAATTTGCTGTCATTCAAATTTAGTTTATATATTAAAATATAAAAAAATACAGGTTTGGAACAACATGTAAATAAGCATTTAAAACATTAAAAACAGAATTTAAATTTTTTGGGGTGAAATATCCCTTTAAGAATGTTTATCAATGCCAATCATCTCAAAAAGGCCTATGATAAGACATACTTAGACAAGCTATTTATTATATATTTCTCAAACCAAATAATAGTATTATTATAGGTCTCTAATACTAAAACGTAAGGTAGGCAGCTCACTATGATTTGAGTCACGGCCGGAGAGAATCACAAGTGGCCTTGAGATGTTCTACTGACCGTGGCTTTGGAGGTGGAGGTCCCTCCATCTTTCTCTTCCTCTCCATGATGAGTGTGTAAGCCTTCATCCATCTCTTCTTCTCTCTGATGTGTGTGAGCATCACTCCTCTGCACACATGAAGGTAATGCAGAGGTAACACAGCGCGACTCACGAGCGCCCTGCACGCCGCCATGACAGCCGCGACCTGACACTGCGCTGTCCGCGAAAGAGCGACGGAAAGCGAGAGGGAAACTGTCCACAGCGCCACCACGTGTCCGGAGCGCTGAGTTTGTGGTGTCTGTCAAGGTGGACTCCATAACTAAGAAATTAACATGCCAAAAGTGATTCTAATTACCCATAGTTGTGTACTATCGTTTTTAAACGGTAACCCAAAGATCCCAGGTGCGTGCTATTTTTTAGGACAACAGGGTAAAGACTGTAAATTCATATATGCACTTTTCTCAATGTCGTGTATTATTACATGCTTCTTTTTATCTTTATTTAACTTTTTTTTTTTTTTGTAATAATCATCAATATGGCATTTACTTATTAGTACAATATTAAAAGCATGAATGACCATGGCACTTAATATAAGTTCTAGTGTTGTTATTGTTAATTAAAACTAAAACTATTAAAAAAACATTTTCGGTAAATGAAATAAAGCTGAAATAATATATAAATATTAGATGAAAAGCTTAAACAAAAATTAGAAATATTGCCATGGCAACTAACTGGAATAAGCTTAAATTGGAATACTGCAATAATGACAAATAACCTGAAACTAAATTTATTTAATTTATATAGGGAAAAAAACACTTAACAAAATAACTAAAATGTAACTTAAAACTTAACTTGAAAATATAATAAAAAAATATTAATAAATACTATAATAGAATAAAAATAAATACTAAAATAACACTAATGAGTACATATTTTGCAGCTTTGTTTGGATTTTTAAAAAAACGTTTAATCTGTCATTCGTAAGACCAATAATTATACTTTATCTTCAGAAATGAAGAAAACAAGCAAATCCAGAAGATTAAAAGCAGACAGTATAGAGTGCAGTTCACTACTGTTGTCATTTATTCAAATAAAAGCGTTTGCAATACAATGTTTATGACTCTGTGAGAGGAAAACTGAACGTGTATCATTTCAGTAATATCCTGCAGAAAAGGTTGTAGCAGAAATAACAACATCAGAATATTACAATAATGGGCTGTTGTACATAAATACTGACTAAACTCACACTTAACAAGTATGGTTTCTATGTTTCTAGTAACATAGATGTACACTATGTACCTAAAATCACAACAGTCCCTAAATATTATTATTATTTAATATTATATGAATTTCTTTTGTCGATGATATATCAGTGCGTTCCATTCCATTGGTCTCTGTAAAAGTTGACATAACATTGTTCTAATTTTGTATAGTAAACCTATGGAAAAATAAATGATTACAGCCAAAGTTCAAAGACAGGTGAAGTAATATATACATCTGGTTCATGCTTGGCTTACACAAAAACAAAACAACAACCCAAAAAGTAATGTACAAAAAAAAAAAAAAAAAAAAAAAAACAAAAAAAAAAAAAAGAAAAATAAATGATTACAGCCAAAGTTCAAAGACAGGTGAAGTAATATATACATCTGGTTCATGCTTGGCTTACACAAAAACAAAACAACAACCCAAAAAGTAATGTACAAAAAAAAAAAAAAAAGTACAAAACCAAGAAAAAGAACAATTATATAGAACAAGAACAAATAATAAAAAAGTATAAATACATATTTATAATAATAAAATAAAACAGACACACTCAAACAAAGAAGCTATCCCTGACTTTACTGCTCTTGCTGAGAAGAAAATAAAATGTTTTAGCCATTCAAAAAACATGGCTAAAGTTTGACACATAGAGCAGAGGGGCGGAGTTCTGATTTTGCCCCTCCCACATTGCTGAGTCCATGTAGCTTTAGCGACGGAACCACACCCAGCTGTTGATAAGCCAGAAAGCTACAGTGATGGAATACATGAACATTTCTCGCTTGACTCTCTCTTTGTTCTCCTCCTCCAAGAGCTGCAAACGCCGATTCAGCTTGACAATCTGTAGTGTAAGAAATTAATACTTTTATTCAGCAAGGATGCATTAAATTGATCAAAAGTATTAGTAAAGACACTTATAACGCTACCAAAAAAAAAAAATGCTGTTCTTTTTAATTTTCTGTTGAACAAAGGATCCTGGGAAAAAATTTATTAAAGGGATAGTTCACCCAAAAATGAAAATTTGATGTTTATCTGCTTACCCCCAGGGCATCCAAGATGTAGGTGACTTTGTTTCTTCAGTAGAACACAAACGAAGATTTTTAACTCAAACCGTTGCAGTCTGTCAGTCTTATAATGTCAGTGGATGGGAACCACGGCTTTGAGATCTCTCAAATGGACCACTGACACTCTATCTACAATCTCAATTAGGAGTGTCAATGGTCCATTTGAGAGATAGGTGGCAGTAAATCACTTATAAGTCTGCAATCCGCCGTAAAGCAAGCAAGAAGAAGAAGACACCTCACCAGCAGGCTGAAGAAGAAGACCCGAACGCGCTCAGGACAGTTCCGACATCGCGATGAAAATCAGAGGTAAAAAACGATATAAATACTGTTCAGTTTCTTGCACAGACCGATAGTTTCATGTCTTTACACATTAATGTATCGTCACGAGCCGCAGGGTTTTATTTGTGTATGTTTTATGACTGTCAAAGCCGTGATTCCCATCCAGTGACATTATACGACTGACAGACTGCAACGGTTTGACTTTAAAATCTTCGTTTGTGTTCTACTGAAGAAACAAAGTCACCTACATCTTGGATGCCCTGGGGGTAAGCAGATAAACATAAAATTTTCATTTTTGGGTGGACTATCCCTTTAAGGTTTCCACAATGATATTAAACAGCACAACTGTTTTCAACATTGATAATAATAAAAAGATCAATAAAGGCATATTTGAATGATTTTTGAAGGATAATTTAACACTGAAGACTGGAGTAATGATGCAGAAAATTCAGCTTTGCACCACAGGCATTTTTTGTACTGTTTTATATTTTTAATCAAATAAATGGTGAGCATAAGATACTTTTTTCCAAAGACATCTGAATGCTAGTGTGCATAAAATATGTTTTTATCTTTTACGTTTTTTTTTAAACGCTGCACAATATTAAGCAGCGGAATAATACCTGTCTGCGTAGAGAGGTGGCGTCCACAACAGCCATGTCATCTGCTCCTCCCTCTATAGTCGGGTCCAGTGGGGCCAGGGCATGCCTGTCAAATACATTATTTCATTTCATAAGACACTGAGATTGTATTGAGAGGACAGAGAGAAAAACAAATTGAGAGAAAAAACAGATGAGAGGGAAGAGATGAGAGGAAGTTACCTGTTGTCATGCTGGGGGTTAGAGAGGGTTGAACCCCCTCTAAGAGATGGCTGGCTGAGAAGCGGATATGGAGAAAGTGAGAGAAGGAAAGGACAAAAGAAGACATACACAGACAGACAACTTTAATAACATGCAAATGCGCTTTAACTAATATAAAATATGTATATGCTGCAGGTGGTCTTTGTCTCACAGACCCTGTCAACATTTTTTCTAATCAAATAAACCTTGCAAAAGAAACCAGCCAACTGCACAGGTGTAAACACAAAAATATTAATTTTAGTCTCATTTTCAGACAGTGGTTTTACATAAACCTACAGTAGAGTTTAGTGCCTGTCAGTGAAACTGAAGTTAATGCCAAGCAGGTCACAGAGCACAGGAAATGAGCTCATGAATAACACCTGTACAGTGCAGGTATTCACAGAAACCCAAATTAAAGGAATGTTCCGTATTCAATGTAAGGCTGAATCATTTCACAGCATTTGCGGCATATCGAATACCAAAGCAAATAATTTGTACTTGTCCCCAAGTACAAAAATAAATAAATTACAACCATTTTCAACATTGATAATAAAAATTGTTTCTTTAGCAGCAAATCAGCATATTAAAATGATTTCTGAAGGATCATGTGATGCTGAAGACTGGAGTAATAGCTGCATGGAATTCAGTTTAAACTACATTTGCAAAATGAATTACATCACAGCCATAAATTACATTTTAAAATATGTTACAACAACAGTTGTTTTAAATTGTAATTACTGGTTACTGTATTTGTGATCAAATAAATGTGTGTGTGGGTATTTTAAGGAATATTACAATAATAAAATAATCTAAATATAACATAAATAAATTCTCATGTAAAAAATATACAAGCCTCACATTTCATTTTTTAAATATAGCTGATTTTTTTCTTAATTTAATTAAAATAATAATATTTTTTTTTGTGGTTATCATGCCAGAAATGCTGTCAATAGATCTTGAACTTGTAATGAACACAAACATTTCTTTAAAAATTATACAGCAATGCCACAAACTGCTTGTGTAAACTTAACTGAAATCTAAAAGCTCAGGGAAAAAAAGAGAAAGGATTCAAACAAAAGAGAAAGAAATAAAATCTTGCGCACATTACTACTCATGCTAAACATAAAACCCCAAACCAAGAGGCTGAGGAAGAAATGGAGCTTAGGAAAGCAGCGTGTCCACATCCAACAGCAAACAACACAAGCTGTCATTTAACAAACTACCTCCTAAAACTTAAATGTGTAGGGTGTTGTGCTTTGTGGTTTAAAGTATGACATTTTGAGGAGGACTTTTTGTCTGTCAGTCCTAATATGCTTAGTGTATTTTCTCACCAAATCAGAGTGACACGTGAATGTCTATCAGTCGTAGAGGACTTTGTTCCTGGCCTAATCTAACACATTTGATTGGTTACTCAGTGAAGCAACATCTAATTTAGCCAAAAGTCAGTCTCTCATGGCATATTCAGGGGGTCTGATGTCAAAGGTCACCTGCGCTGGTTCTCGTCCAGGACCTCCAGGACCTGCTGGTAGGCCCGACGGGTACTGACATACACTACCAGTCAAAAGTGTTTGAACAGTAAGATTTATAATGTTTTTTAAAGAATTCTCTTCTGCTCACCAAGCCTGCATTTATTTGAACCGCGGGCGTTGAAGAGGTTAAACCCGTCCTCGGCACCACCGAGAGGAGCCATAGTGCGCAATGCAGCAGAGGGGGAGGCAGTCATACTGACCGAACCACACACACACAGAGAGAGAGAG